AGGTTGGTTTTTTCTGTTCCTATATATCTTTAAGTCTATTACGATACGGCTGAACTACGATTTTTAACTCTTAGCGACTGCTATCAGACCCTCACAACCCATCTCCTAGGAGATATCGAAGTTCTGTAGAAATACTGTTGTTGGACTTTTACTGCTTCCAACTACCGGTGAAGATTGCCACTGATGTTCGTATGACAACGGACCGACGTCTTAACGTGCTCTCCGAGGCACGGAGGGGTCTCAATGTGTTAATAATGGTCACCCATTCGTAGACTGACCTGACTAGGATTGCTTGACTTTTGCAATGTGTTAACCTATTCAGGAACCATTTAGCCACAAGCCCGTATAATGTGCAAAGAGTGCAAAGAGAGACAAAGAAAAAAAAAGGTCAGTTGAGGTTGGGAAAACGAATGGGGTGAGGTAACTAAGATACCGCAACTTGGAATGGCAATGGGACTTATAGTCTAAGATGAGACTAGAAACGAATGGAATTACTTGTTTATGCCAACTCAGTAGTCATTTACATACACATATATTTTAAAATATTACATTTTATATAATATACTTGTCGTTCATTAAACAGATGGATGAAGGTCGTTTATATTTCGGATCCTTTATTATAGACTGCGGTAGCATGAATAGGCGGGGTCACGTAACAACATGTAATTATAACCTTTACTGGTGACATAGTTTTGTTGATATACACAGAAGGCTATGTCGGATTTATGTTTGAATTCCAGTCGTCTAGCGTTGGCAAGAGATTTTATATTTTTAGAAAAAAGAAATAGTTTTCTGGCAGTCCATATTTTCCCAAACTAAATCCACTATGAGCTTCTAATTATTTTTTTTCAAAGACAATTCCCGCATTATGAATATATCCTGTCTCGCGGGCGACTAAGAACACCCAGACTCAGAACAAGAATTTGTCGATCACACAAAGTGTCGTCCCATGTGGGGATCGAACCCACAACACTCAACGTAGTAGGAAGCAGCGTGACGACCGCTTAAACCACTACGCCATCCGTGCGGTCAAACTATCCTTCAATAGCCTGTTTAATATTGTAATATTGTGATGTTAAGGTTGCAATTTTTTTCAAGTACTTGCAAACGTATTGAATATTAATTTGAAAGTTTGACTTGTATTTATTAATGATGTAGCAACATTTTACAGTGTTACTTTGTCTTGCTTCCTGTATTAAATAAAACATGAAAAAGGAAGTAAGTCCCTGTAGAAATTTCGCAGATATGATTCGGAAAGCCCCCCGAGACACTGGGACGTGGATTACGTTCGACAAAGCTTTCTAATAAAATAACTTTATTTACTGTCGTGGAAATAAGTCCTGTTTGTTTAGAAATCTGGCTTTACCTCGGTACGAGGATATAATCGTACTACTTGCTTTGGGAAAAGTGATTATGATGTTAAAACTGGTGACTGACTGGTGAAATACTATATGTTATCTGAAAGGAGAAACGTAGAGACCGCGTTACGTTACGACACAGTCGCTATAAAGGATTTGGAAACCACTTGGTACACCGCTGATTCTTACTACACCTTTCTTTTTTTTTCTGTGCAGAAATCCCCTCGGATACCACTTACCTTTGGCAATGTCGGACTCGAACCGATTAAAACTGCACGCCGTCGCAGGTACCAGTAGTCGGGAAACCAGGTGTACCCTAGAAAGGAAATCCCTGGTGTCCTGACGTACCTTGGGCCATCTACGGCGGGTAGACGACCCCCCCTGTGTGGGAACCCCCATTTTCCCTCTGCGCTCCCGGAAGGGCGCGCGTGCACCCCGGCCTGCATCTGTTAGGGTGACAGATGGCCTCACCTGTCACCCCCAGGCCTGCGCTTATGGAGGACGGAGGTTGTTCTGCGACCTCCGGCGCCCTGGACGTCTGCGTCTGCAAACCTGGCGGGCCGGGAGAGTTCTAAACCTCTCCCGGTCCATCTCCTTCGCAAGCATAACTTGCTCACACAAAGAGTCTTACTACATACCTGTATTTAATATATTCATACTTCCAAACTTATATTATAAATTTGAAAGTGAGTGTGGTTGTAAACAATTTTTTTTTTATCAATGAAAAACTACATTATCAGCGAGTAACATAGGCTACCCTTTACAGCGATAAACGACATACACGCACGCCATATAATAATAATAATAATATTTCACACATCTCACACACGTCCGTCTGATCCCAAACTAGGCAGAGCCTATACGATGGTAACCAGACTGCTGATTTACATAATTATATATTTTTAAATACATAGGTATTATAGATAAATAACACCCAGATACAGAACAAAAGATCGTGCTCATCGTGCAAAATTTGTCCTGGGTAGGAATCGAACCCACGACCTCCGGCTTAGCAGTCAGGGTCACTAACCACTGGACTAACAGGCCCGTCAAATGACAGCCTTTGATCACGACTAGTACCTAAAACCTGTAAATATATAGTAAATACTGAATCGCGTTGATTCCTTTTAATGAACATGAGAAGTTGAAAAAAATTTGAATTATTGTTACACTAAACATATATGTACTTAGAACAACGAACAGCAAAACTATTTTATTAGGTAGGCACATAACCTGTAAAAATAGCTGTATTGTGTCAATAAATAAAAAAATTTATAAAATTAATTATTATCTTGAGAAACTACGAAGTTAAATTGTGAAATTGTCAGAACGAATTGAATTACGTCTGGACAAGATTTCTAAACGTCGCGTCGTACGGTTTCAGTACGTCTTTGAAGCTTTCGCGCTCCTGTTACACTCGTAGTATATTCAAGAATACGTTCATTACCGCTTTTAAGGCGATCAGAAAAGATTAGTGCAGAACTGAACCAAGAAATTTGCAACGTAATATAACTAACAAATGTCTGACTTTTTTGTGGAGACTGCGAAGCGTCCCTTACTTTACATCATTGCTAAAATCATCCTCATTTCGTCTAAAAGATGTCTTTAGCTGGACATAGGCCTTCCTCAATTCCATGAAGATCAGTTATAACTGGCCTTGATCGTGTAGCGTATCGTTGATCCGCGTTCTTTTTAAAGTTACCTCTTCACTTTATGTGTAGATATTAATTAGAGAGTATATTCGCTGAGGTAATCTTCGTTCGTCGGCGTATGATTTTTGATTCGATCTCACAAATAAACCCTGCGTCGCACAAAGGGCTCTGAAATTGTGAATCCAGAGTGGAAGACCAGGTTTTGTTAGGACTAAGGTCTAAGAAAGGATTGACAATAACTCTGAGTCCTGGTTGCCATACGAACATCTGTGGCAGTTGTTACGGGTAGTTTGAGCCCAAAAATAACTTTCATATACTTAGCCTAGTTGCGAAGGTCTGACGGCAGTCGCTTCGCCAAAAAAACAAGTACAGCCGTATCGTAGTTAACTTTAAAGTCGTTCCCAACGTGGTTTGATAAAAAGAATAGACCAGGTGGAAAAACTTCAGAATTTAGATATTATTTGTTAACGTTTTTCGTATATGCGCCACGGTCATCACGGTCTCACAGAAAACCGGTAAATTGTTTCGTTGGTTTTCACAAAGTTACCGAAGGTCCACTTCTCGTCCCCTTTAAATTCTAGGGAAGGGCAGATGAACTGGGACTCTTGAGTCGTGTCCATAGCGGGCCGTAGTTATTTAGACTAGTAGACTGCACAGATTGCGTAGTGGTTTAAGCGGTCGCCACGCCGCTTACTACTACGCTGAGTGTTGTGTGTCCAATCCCTACATGGGACGACACTTTGTGTGATCCACAACTTGTTGCTCTGAGTCTGGGTGTTCTTTGTGTCCATTTTATGTATGTTTGTAAAGTCCCCCGCGTCACAGAGTATATTCTTAATGCGGGAGTTGTCTTTTTTAAAAACTGAAACTGAATATCAGGGCTGCTCGTCAGCCCCTTGGCCATAAAAAACCTAAAATAAACGTTTCGACAATGTAATGAAATAATATGTTTTATCAGTGAATTATCTCGTGTAAACACTGATAATTTTATGCATTATTTATCGTAATACATAAGTATAAGTAATAATATGGGCCATATCGTCGTAATAAATGAATTGTAGTTTGGGTTCTAGAATGTACGTTAACTTTAGTAAAAAAAGGAAAACGTCAGGTTAAGAAATAGTCTGTTGGTCTAGTGGTTAGTGAGCCTGACTGCTAAGATGGAGGTCGTGGGTTTGATTCCACCCAGGACAAATTATTGTGTGATCACGATCATTTGTTTTGTGTCTGGGTGAAATTTTTCTATAATATGTATAATATGTATGTATTTAGAAATATAAGTATGTTTATGAGCAGTCTGATTAGGCTCTGCCTAGTTCGGAATCAGACGGCTGTGTGTGAGGTTATTATTAATATTACCTTTTGGCAAACTCTCAGCTCTTAGGCACCCCGGTAGATGAAGAACCCTGGTGGACACACAAATGCGAGTTGGGCGACTTGCCTTTTCGATCAGAGACGCGCGTAGAACACGTTGCATTATTAAACTAAGTTTGCTCCTGCTGCAGGATTACGGGCAAACTCACCTATAACCCTCAGGTCAGAGGTCATCTAAAAAGTCTTAACTCATGAGATTGTCGACATGGAACTTGGATTCGGTGATCACCATAAAACGGTTTGTTCCTACCTCTTTGGGGGTGTAGGCCTAAGTGTATATGTATGTATGTATGCATAAAACATACATAGTGAATAAAATACATTATACTCTCGTAGATTTAAAAAAATATTGAAACAATAAATGTGTGAAACTACAAGTCTGTAAGATATAGGCTGTATTGATGTATAAATGAACACAGATAGATACACAATTCAAGGTTTTATTTTTAATATTCAAAAAGTTACACATATGATTATAATTTTAGACTAGTTTAAAAAAGATTTAAATGCCGACACATACGAACAATAAAAGAAATACACTTCTCAATGCATTTGGAACGTTTACAACTTAACTATACAACATATGCACTGCATCACGTTATTGTATCTTCTGTATTTAGAATAACCCAAACTCAGTGAAACTATTAATCAACCCAATGATTTTATTTTTATAAGTCTCCTGTACTTCATTATCACCGGACTGAATACTCATCTGTTGTGCTGTTTCTGCCAACTTTTCATCATTTGTATTGTCCAGGTTCATCATCCCCTCCATCAGTTTGGAAGCTTCTTCTGACTTCCTCGACATCATACTGGCCATAAGTACACATAGACCAAACATTAATTTTCCATAACGCTTTAAATCGGCGTCTAATTTGTCACGAGGATATATGTAATTGGCTTTTAGAGTGAAATTAGCCAAAGATTGATCTAATTCTGAGTGATAATAATCTATCCAGTCGTAGAAGTTTTGTTTCCTGGTTTCATAGTCTGTGCAGTTGAAGATCAGCCCCAATATATCAGTCACGGGAGTGTAGTTCTTAGTCTGTTGGTAGTCAACCATGACAGAATCTACTACTTTGCCATCCTGAAATTAGAATAATTAATATCATTGAAATAATTGAACATCATAATGTGTTTAGCTTATCATTTGTTGAAAAAAACTCATAATTGAAAAAAAAAGAACAATTTTATATGCATTTACTTTGATATCAACGAAATAAAACCTATTTATTCCCGAAGATTTCCAAGCAATAAGAAAGATATGAGAAAACATCGTAAATTCCTTAAGTAAATATTTTCCTCATCAACAGCTCCTAATAGTCAACTGCTAGACATACACCTCTCCTTAGAAATTAAGTTTTGGCCTACTATACCACGCTGACCAGACGGGTTTGTATAGAGTTTATTTCAAGTTTTTAAAATAGTCTCTTAATAAAATAATTGTTCTAGTGTAACCCGATAATCCAGTATGGACACAATTATGTTAACAGGTACACATGGATTACTTTAGACAAAAAGGAAATGTAAAATAAGGAGACATCTCACAAAAACATTCCATGTTAATGTTACTTTCGTTAGAAGTCGGGAATAAAAATATATTCACACGATCTTATGCGATTTTTGCTAGGAAAATCATTTAGTTCGTATGTTTAATTACTTATATACTTGCCTGATACTTAAACAAGAAGTTGTTTGTCCAGGGGTCACCATGCTGTATCACGTTATACTTGCAGTTAGTATCGGATTTCGACAACTTTGCACCACTGTTAAATGCATCTGTAAATTTACTCTTAAAACAGCTTATATGCGCAGGATCTTCTAGGATGGAAAGCGTATCGTTTTCGATTCCCATGAAGTACATTTTCATCAAATCATTCCCAGCCATAAGTTCAAAGGAATTAACCAAATTTTCTTTTAAAGCATTGAATTTTTCTGGATTCTTGTGCTTCAATACATACGACAAGGAGTGCAGTATAGCAAAATTCTTCAAGACATGTTTAACACAATCGCTTGAAAGCGGCTTGAATTTGTCCAACATTTCGAATTGTGAAATTTTCAAATCTTCTAAAAGAATTACTTCATGTGGTTGATCTAACTGAGCACCATAACATTTCGCATATTTAAGATGTTCTGATTCTGGAATACCTGCATCTCGTTGTAGCTGCTCAAATATTGGAAAGACTTCTGTATACAGGACCTGCTCGTTTCTAAACGCTATAGGAGTCATCGACATTTGTCGTGCAGTTTCATTTGTAGATGCTATTTTCGCTATCATCTGTAGAGTACCCTTTTCGCCTTCTACTTTAATTCTTTTCACATTTGCCTGAAAATTATCACCAGGTTTGCCAACCATCTCGAAGGTCACTTTACTGTTTTCAAAACCATTTTCAACGATTATTTTATGTATGAATTGTAGTTGAGGTTCAGCTATAGTTTCTATTGCACCTTCAAAATTGTATTGTGCCATTTTAAATGGGATAATGTTTCAGATACAACTCTCTTAGAATGTAGCGTTGCGACTGGTAAATATATGACTGCACTTGGTAAATATAGGTATTTCTGTTATGTTATAGATTAGATTTGGTTTGCGCAATTGTTATTAAAAGTCTACCAGGACATCCGTGAAGCTTATCTCTTTGATAGTAAGTTATTACGGTTCTCCGATTGTGTATTAGGGTGTGTTAAGGACTTGGTTACCTGAAAAAGAAATTGTATACTTTGTTAATAATGTATTTATACAACGCAATAAATAATAAAGACCAAATTAGTAAAGTAGAAGTAGAAGTTAGTAAATTATCATTGTAATTCTTATTCCTACAAGTACAACAAGATAAATTAGGTTATAAAAATAGTTGTTTACAGATGTATACAAATATTTATTAGTTAAGGGTACAGCAGACGAGTAATTTCAGTTATTAAGTGACTACCAACCGTAGGCACCTCCAACTAACGAGTTGTTGCCGCTTTTTGAGTACCCTCCCTGTCCGCCGGCTCCGGTTACCTCACACACTCGGCAAAAAACTTAATTACTTAACACTTTAACAGTGGCTCTCTGTGAGACCATGGTATCACCCCACCCGACGGTGGTCGAGCCGCCCGGTACCTACGTACCGAAACACGTCTCTCCCACAGTTGAAATTATGAGTTATAATAAAATGCACACTGATACAGAAGATATTTAAAATCTTAAAATATGTGCAAAGTAAATATTAGAATTTTAATAAAACACCAAAGGTAGAAATTTAAAAGCATCAGTAAAATTAATAAAAGTTAATTTAATACCTTGCCGGAACGCCGAAAATCCACACAATATATATCTCTTGTTTCAAACACACACTTAGAACATTTTGTATCGCGTCAATTATAATTGATTTCTTTTTTTGACACAAGTATCTGAAATCCAGTTATATCGGTTGCACGACTTTGATAAGCAATATTGATCGAAAAACGAGTAATTTCGTACCAAAACCTATGTTTATCGAATAATATTATAGTGTTATCTGACTCGTAGCAAGCTCCATCGGATAGTCGAGTCAAATGAATTGATAATTCCAACATGTTCTCGCATTACGCAGGCGCAAGAGTATTACGTGTTATCTATTTTGGGTGTACCGTTTAGGTTTAATAAAACCGGTAACCTTGTGGTTTTTGTACCTACTCATCAAAGTAATGTTTTTATATATTGGTTTGGTTTAAATTATATCGCTAGTTTTCTTTTGGATTGTATGATGGATATTGACTAAGGATTAAGCTAAGCTTATGAGCAAGTGCATAATTTTCTCAATTCTTAGGTCATTTCCTTGTTGACATAAAACTTCTTTTCTATAAGATCAACATATTAGAGTAAGAATGTTGTATTGCAATATGGTTACTTTATCATTCGTCGTCTTCCATGACATTTATGATAAATTAAGAGTTATTTTGAAATACAATGTAACGCACTAATGTTGCTGTAAATATACATACATTTACAAAATGCATAAATGCATAATATATTTTCAAACAAAATTGATATAAAGGCAGACTTAATACATGTTTAAGTTCACATACAGAGGCTTTATATAATAAAATCAGTAGTACAGCATATGCTCTGTTTAAACTTAGACCAGTCTTAAATATTGATGCACTACTTACAGCCTATTATGCAACTACTGAGTCATATTTAAGATATGGGATAATATTTTGGGACAACTCAACACATAAAGATGTAGTTTTTAAGCCCATAAAAGATGTATTCGAGCTATGTTTAGTTTAAATAATAGAGATAGTTGTAGAGAAACCATACTTTGTAAAACACGATATCTTAACTTTGCCATCTTTATATGTATTTGAAACAGCAACTTTTGTAAAGTTAAATCCTGAATTATTTGAGACACCGTTACACGAAGTAGAGGGACGAATACACGCGATAGGCTTCGGACATAAAGCAAATACAGCTTTATTGCATAAAAGCATTTTCTGCCTAGCGCCGGTCATATATAACCGGATACCTAATGAATTTAAAAAGTTAAATATTAATCTATTTAAGAAGCGCCTTCATGACTTTTTAGTAAAGAAATGCTGCTATGCAATAAGTGACTTTCTCTCATGCAAATAAGAATATTTTTGAATTATTACTAGTGGGATGGATGGGATGATCATATTATTGTTGCTTAATTAAATAAATTTATTTGTAACGTTAAGTATAATTGTAACATTTTGACATTTTGATATTTTATATTGACATTTTTATTTAATATGTTGACATATGTAATTTTTTATTCTAAATCAATTGACAATTGTTGTAATCAACTTTTGCATGCCGTTAAGGTAGACCAAAGAGGACATGTAAAAATAAAAATGTAACACCGTTGTACACCTTTGATCAGCAAATAAATAAATTATGAATTATGTATTAATTATTATGAATTATGTTTTTTCTCTACCAGTTTTTAGACTCGAGTGACGCAGAAACAAACTGTGTACGTACATGACTAGACGTATTATGTACTTAGGTACATATATATTTTGTTAATATGTTTGTAAATAAATTTGAAACTGGCCTTCGCAAATCATCATTGTTAACGCAATCTACCGGTCAAACAACCGAACGTATTAGGTACGTGCGCAAGCGCCGCTTTAGTGATCGTAATTACTTACAGCTTGTGAAGCGTTTATTTAGTTGTGATTAGTTTGTTTAATTTAAATTATTTGAGACACCCTAACTATCTGAAGAACCCCAGTAAAGTAAAGACGTACCTAACGATCTCGGAGAGTGACCCACGCGACCCAAGGTATTTATTATTGCATTTACAACAGGACGGTATTTGCTTAAGGAGCCATGTCTTGCAGTTACCGTACGCAGCTGAAGTTTGTTCAGCTATAGTAAGAACCTAGACAGGCACCTCCTAATGACGGGGAGTAATGACCTTGACTGCCCACAATCTTCATATTGACATTGTCCTCACATTCATATAATCGTCAATTTCTAGTCTATGTCTTCTTGGATTGCGTTACATACTAAAGTCTTACAATAATATAATAATATTAGATATTATAATGCCCGAGTAAACCGGATTTAGATAAAAATCCGTTCACTATCAATTTCGTGTATTATACGCAGCTTTTAGTGGCCTCTGCTGGTAAGCTGGTGAGTTTTTCTTACCATATTGACTTAATATAAAGTCGTAGTGGTACTGAGAACTACCGCTAGATGGTGCTGTCGGAACGTATTTGAGATTTAATAAGTTAACGTTAAAACCGCTTCATGTTTCTTGCCTCAGGTCTGTAATGTATTGATGTGATTTTGAAATTCGTTATTCAAATTCGTAAAAGATTACTTTTGACTCCAAAAGGTTACTAAAACCGGTCCGTAGAATTGGCAGACTAGAGCACAATCATATTGTTAGACAACTCATAATGGATGCAGGACGTCGACCCAATTATTGTATGATAAAAAAGATCATTTGTATTTAGGCAAAATATACATACTTAGATATCTACAATAATACATCTGTAATATATATGTATTTAGTAACTAGCAGTCTGGTTATCATAGTAGAGGCTCTGCCTAGTTTCTTATCAGACGTATCAGTGAATTGTTATAATTTATTATTATTGTCACAGTCTAGTGTTCTGGTACAAAAAAATGGGTTTGTTTAAATGACAACTCTCGCACTAGGAATATATCATGTGTCGCGGGGGACTTTACAAACATACAATAAACGGACACAAAGCACACCCAGACTTTGCACAAAAATTTGTGAATCACACAAAGTGTTGTCCCATGTGCGGATCGGACCCACAACACTCAGCGTAGTAAAAAGGAAGCGGTTAGGTGACCGCTTAAACCACTAAGCCTTCCGTGCAGGATGTGCAGGTGCGTTCTAAAAGGATTGGATGAAAGTAAGGAATGTTACACTTTAGGAGATTACACCAGGCCTAGTGGCTCAATTACTGTTTAATATAGCAGTGTTGCCTCTGATCCAAGTGTTGCTGTCAAAATTTATACTTGAATAAATATTTTGACATAAACGTCGTTCTAAAATAAGTTATCACTCACTTAAGTATGGATTGGTGAATCTCGTTTTAAGTGACGTTCAATAATAAAATCTGGGCTTAAAATTAGTTTTAAGACTAGATGCACGACTGAGACACCTTTTAAAATACGGACCTTACTCTGTGAGAGGCAACGGCAGAATTGCTTAACTCCACCTTTCTGTAAGGAGGCTCTGGTCGAGCCGGCCTATATGGGACGAAGTATAGTTCCACCACAGTTGTGTCTTTCTAACATATATTTGTAATAGTTAACCGCAAACATAAAGTAATGAAATGACGCAGAATCACAAGAAAAGTGAAATCAAAAAAATGGAAGTTTTCTAATGGGAGTGTCAATTAATGAATAGGGGTTGTTAGTTAATAGCTTAAGCGTTGGTAAGAAGCTGGTGCGCTAGAATCTTGGTTCCTTCTTTTGCAAGCTTCAAATACACAAGAAGAGAAAATGGGATGCTTCTATCTAAAAATAAATTCTGTATTACAGGATTTCTTTGAAATGATTGAAATAATCTAGAACCGTTAATAGTTAGTATAAATTAAATACCGACGTAAGCATAGCTCAAGTGAGAATTTAAGTTAGCCCTTTTTAAGCTGTCGTGGTTTAAAAATCCCTTCGGATCTTATGTTCGTTTGGGACCCAGGGAGCTAGGAGTATATGTGGTGATTCCACTAAAAACCACTCCGACATCTGGTCTCATGCACCCTACTCTGGGAGGACCCAGACCATATGATTTCAGGTCCTCCCCGAATCGACACCACGCCTAACCAGACTCTATCCCGGGGAAGAAATTTCGACCCTCAATCGCAGCGTGGCGGCCCGACTGTGGCTTAATGCGATCTATCGCCTAAGACGGCAATTAATCTGCCACCAGAGGTCCCCACTCTCTGGGGGCATGTGGATTTAAATTAGCCCTACCAAAATTTTATTTTAAT